ATCACCCCTGTCAGACAATCTCACTTAAGGTGACAAGCAGGTCCTGCCTTGATGGCATTCAGGGGACCTTAACTTCCCAGGAAAGAAGGAGCCTGAGGTCTCTCAGGTGCTTTGCCCTCTGGTCCTGTGTCCCCTTCCCTGCCTCAGATGGCCAAGCTTTGGGTCCATCCTGTACCCAGTAAACTATTATCCTCCACCAGACAAACAAACAGACAAACACAAACAAAACAGAACAGGAAGAGGTAAAAGCAGCTTACTTTTGGGAGCATTCACCATGTATTGGGCACTGTGCTCAAAGCCTGAGTTTATTTAATATTCACAATGATTCTGTGAAGTAGGGATAATTAGAATCCCCATTGAATAAAAGAGGAGACCAATGTTTGGAGAAGTTAAGTAACTTGCTGAAGGTCACACAATTAGAAATGTGGGCGGGTGTGCTCTGTGGTCATTCTGGCACTGGTGCTCAGCTGAGATGTCTGCCCGGTGTCTGATCACCCAGTGGTGCCCACTTCCCCAGCCCAGGCTAGAAGCCACGTGCCCTACACAACGCCAGGTCACTGGGTGTGTTTCTGAAGCCAAATTCCATAGCTATTTGCTTTCCCAGAGGCTGCTGGGTGACTGGCCAATAGGGTTTCCCAAACCACGAACCCATGGAATACTGGTCTCCTGTGATGCCTCAATGAAGATGTTTCGCACCTAATACTGAGTAATGGACTTCTTTCCCCCAGTTTCCAAGAAAACTTTGCAAAAGCATAGCATGTTCTCAGTTGAACATTTTTCTTCCATGAATTTCTTCACATTCCTTTAGAGCTTGCTCCTGTTCACCAGCTGGCTGGTGACAGTAATGACAAAACAACTGAACAACTAGCAAGCAGATGAGTGTTGACAGAAAAACTTGGAGATGTGAGATCTTTGATATATTATGTATTATGTCTTGAGATACAGAGACACCTAGCTGTATATGAAATAGTTATATTATTTCTACTAGTAAGGTGGTTCCTAGTTTGTAATGATAAAGTTAAAGCTGTCTCTGTTTATTAGTGTTCATGGTTTGCACGTGTTCTGCCCACTAAACAAATTTCAGAACTAGGAGATGTCCAAAATCATATTGGGCAGAACTAGATAATTCTAATAAAAATAGCAAATATTTATTATATGGCTTACTACATTCTAGGCACTGTCCTTAGCAATTTTGATGCACTTGATCTCGTTTAAATCTCACAATGACCCTATGAGGTAGATACTATTACTGTACCCATTTTACAGATGAGGAAACAGAGGCTGGGAGAGATTAAAACCAGTAGAGATGGACATTGAATGAGCCCAGTCTGACTTTAGATCAGTGCTTCTTTCTCTCCAGGCTGAAGGGGAAATAAAGAAGGAAAAAGACAGGGAGGAAGAATACAAATAGAAACACTTAGGAAGTCCTTTCTCTTTTTCAGTGCTGTGCTAAGGACTTTCTCCCTTCCTGGAGGCTTACCTCTATCTTGCCATGAAGCCAGTGCATGGTATAAATATGAAGAGCACTGGGTCGGGACTCAAAAGGTGGCTGAATTGCCCCTCAAAATTCTATCTGCCTCATAAGGTTGAGGTTCAAACAAGACATGAGTGGGAAGAAGACTTTGAAGGCTGCTATGCACCTGTGATTTACTAGAGGGCAACACATCCTGGTGGGTTGGCCCCAGCAGGCCTAGGGTAGGAAGGCACATATCTTAGGTCATCTGGGCCTTTGGACAGCCCTTGGGCCATTATGTACCTTCAGCCAGGCTACACGGGCTGGCTGAGTTCAAGGCCACATGTAGTAATTTTAAAGGGGCTAAATCCTATACAATCATACCCATCCTGGCCTAATTCTGGTCTTACCAACCTTGCTCACCACCTTGTTCCCCTGTGTTGGTGAACCCACTCAGCATCAGAACCTAATTCTCCTTGCATTGCCTGCCTGTGAGATATCCCGGAAGAAGATTCTCCAGGCAGAGGAATGGCCTCCTGATCTTACATAACCAGTATCGAGCGCTGGGTGCCAAGTCCCAATAATCCATACCTCTGCCTTCCCTAATCACAGCTCCGAGGGAATAACAGCCAGAGCGGGGGTCACGTGGAGACGCATTCAAAACAGCAAGCACACCGAGGAAAAATTGATTCCTCCACCTCTCTTTTCATTTGTGAATTCAGTTTTTTTGTCAGGCTGAACATTTAAATGCACTCTCCGCTCTCTGGATTTCCCCCATTCTCCCCCTTTCTCATTAAAATTCTAATTATTACCAGAGCAAGCAAGATGTATGATCAAAGGAAAGCAAAACTCTAGAAATACCCTTTGTTTTAAGGTGACCCATATTGCAGAGACTGCACCCGGAACAGCTGTAACAGTGAACAGATGTGGAGGGCCCAGAGATGGCCAGATGCTTAGAATAAGGGCACCCATATCTGTGGTAGCATTCCTGGTGAACCCCAAGGTGATCCAGGCCTAAAAAACGGTCTTCAAACCATTTAGATCATGAACTCATAACAGCAAAAGTTATTTTGATTTAATACCTCCAATATGTGTTTTTTGTTCCCACGTTCTATACACACGTACAGAGGGGGTATTGTAGAGCTGAACTGTCTGGGTTGTATCTCAGTCCAAACACTTACCAGCTGTGTGACCCTGGGCAATCTATTTAACCCTCTGTGCCTCAGTTTCCTCATCTGCAAAGTGAGGATAATAATCTTTACCTATTTCACTGGAGAGTATTAAATGAGTGAATACATAAAAAGCACTCTGTACCTTGGACATTGTAATGTTCAATAACTTGACTAAATCCAACAATAAAATGGTATCATTCCTATTACTGTCAACCTGTATATTACAATTTTTCTTTCTTATTTTTAAGATAATAAATAAATATTAAACAATCTGATATTTTTTCTCTTGTGCTCCCAGGATGCATGCACATCATAATTGCAGATCTTCAGTCTAGAAGTTAAATAGGAATCAGTTTTTCTGGTCCCTGGCAGTCTCTGGTGGACTAACCTCAGTTCCTATATTGGGGAGAGACTCCACTGTCTCCAGGCAGGGACCTGGGGGCTGGAGTAGGTTGCTAAGGACTTGAGGATCCTGCGCTCTCATTCCTTATTCCTGAAGGTGGTAGCTGGTCAAGGCCAGTACCCTCCAACCAGGGAGCTGGGAGGCAGTGCTAACTCCCCAGAGAGGGTGGCTGATGTTCTGGCCTCCTTCTCAGGTGCCTTTGGATGGCGGACAGCTTTCACGGGGGCCCATGTGCCGTGAGAGTACTCTTGATCTCCCAAGGAGGAACTGAGCATCTCTATACTCCCAGTCTAGCTCAGCACCTGGAACATGGCAAATGCTCAGTAAATGTTGGCTGAGAGATAATGACAGCTGTTTTATGTGCCACTGATTGACTCATTCATTCATTCATTCTCATGTGTCAGTTTCTATGCTGAGCCCTGAGTCAGACAAATATAAAAAACACAGGGCTATAGTAGCCTATAGTTTAATCAGGGACAAACAGTCTGGGACAGTGGAATGAGCCCCAGGCTGGGCAGTGGACATCTGGACCCTGGTCCAGGCTCTGTGTCTGACCTGTGACCCCAGGCAAGTCCCTTCTCTGGACCACTGCTCCCATCTGCAAAAGCACAGCCTCACTTGTAGGGTCATTTCTCATCTTAAATCCCAAGATTCTTAAGGCATGGGGACAGGATAATCCAGAGACTACAAACTCACAAGCCTGCAGGGGCCAGGCAGGTAACAGGGAGAGCAGCTGGTGAGCACGCAGCCTTCCGAAGGGCATCGCCAGTTTCCACCATGCGGGAGCATAGGTCCAGTTAGCAAGTCCTCAGGCCTTTTCCAGAGAAGCCAGAAATCTGGTGTGATGATGACGATAGTGATGATGGAATTGCTCAATATTTCAATCATCATGTAAGCCAAACGAGCCTCCTCTGCTGGCTTGTCTACAAGTGACCTTCGTGCAAACCCATCATTGGTTCAAGGCCTCTGACATCTCAGAGTAAGAAGAGGCCTTGGGCTCAAAGGTTCATTCCTAAAGGTGGGGTGGGAAGCCTGCTTAACAATTTCTCCCAGAGGGAGGCATCCTTCACAGCTCTTCTGGGGTATTGGGCATCCTACTGGGGGCAGAGGTGGGCTGGGTGTGGGACAGTGAATGCCTGCCTCTGAACGAATCACGACATTCAAAAATACCAGTTTTACAGCAAAGCTCTCACATAGCCACAGGAATGGGGGGAAAGGACAGCTATTGGAATCATCTGTATTTAGCTTTGAAGTCAACTGTGTGGATCAGATTCCAACTTAATACGAGTATTTATTGAGCCTACTATGTGCAGAGTTCCGGGAGTACAGCAGAAGCATTAGACCTAATCCCCCTCCTCGAGGAGATTATGCCCGATCTCATTCACTTCAAGTCAACCTACTAACTATACACTAGCTCCTGCTGTGGGCTTGCGCTATACACTAGCTCCTGCTGTGGGCTTGGCAGGCGCCGGGTAAGAGAAGGGAATGAGGTAGCCCAGCCGGGGGTCCCCAAGGCCCCACAGCCTGTGGAGGAAGAGAGCTGTCTGCAAAACCGACCCTGCTGTAAATCTGGCCATAGTAACAGCTCTAATAGAAATTCAAACAGCATCCAAATGTGAATGCTTCACGAATTTGCACATTTGCTTAGGCTGCTATTTAAATTACTTTCCCTTCCCCATACACGTGCCCATGGGGAGGGGAGGCAACCCAGGTGCTCCCCAAGCTGGCGGTGGGGGGAGGGGTAAAGCTGGAGAAATCAGACCGAGGTGAACCCGAGGCTGCAGATATTTTACAAGGTGGATACGGAGCATCAACCCTACAACCATCCCTCCTCTACCTGGGCAGCCTTCTCATGACCACTCTTTTCTCTTCTTCCGTCTCTGTCCCTTCTGTGTGGCCCCTCTTTGAACACCCTTCCCTGCTTCTCCCCTCCTGTGTCTGTCCCTGTCGCTCCCTGCCTGGCTGAGGGCAGGCACCTCTGTCAGCCTCCTCACAGTGGTAGTTATTGTGTGTGGCGTGGCCCTGGTGGCAGTTTTTCTCTTTCTCTTTTGGAAGCTGTGCTGGATGCCCTGGAGGAACAAGGAGGCCTCCAGCCCCTCCTCTGCTAACCCCTCCCCGGAGGCCCTCCAGAGCCCCAGCTCCAGAGGCAACATGGCGGACAAGCTGAAAGACCCCAACACCCTGGGCTTCCTAGAGGCAGCCGTGAAGATCAGCCACACATCCCCAGATATCCCTGCCGAGGTGCAGAGGTCGGTCAAAGAGCACATCATGCATCACACACGGCTGCAGCGACAGACCACAGAGCCAGCGTCATCCACCAGGTGAGGGGTGGACCCCTCCCTTCCCTACCTCCACATTCCTGGATCCAATACATTAATGAGATTCCGGCCTGTGAGGATCAGAGACCAGAAATAATCACGTGCATATTCTCGTTGGAGAATATGTCAGATGATGTGCTCCTTGGTGGGTGATCAACTCGGAGGTGGGCGCCAGGAGAGACTTCAGGAGAGGGGAACCTTTGAGGTGGGGTGCTGTGCAGGTGGTAAGCCCTGGGATGTGTGTGGGTGCGAGGTGTTGGCTTATCTGGAGGGAAGGAAAGACTTTAGGCTGAGGGAAGAGAATATGCAAAGGCGCAGAGGCATAGAAGTTCATGATGTGTCTATGTCAATACAGCCTCCTAGATGGAGGCTGCAGTGCGTGGGAGATAAAGCAAGAGATTCCTAACATTTTGAGAATGAGGACAGCTTTTGACAGTGTTCCCCGTATGACAGCAATTGTATACATGGCATTCTTTAATTGAAAAAACAAAATGACAACAAAAAACAACCACCACATAATGACAAAAACCTACTCCAAATTCAGAAACACTTTTGAATGATGTGGTACGTGCATGTATAAGGCATTGTATTTGTTAAAAACTTGGGGCGACGCAAGAGGGAAGAGATATGGGAACATATGTATATGTATAACTGATTCACTTTGTTATAAAGCAGAAACTAACACACCATTGTAAAGCAATTATACCCCAATAAAGATGTTAAAAAAAACAAAAAAAACTTGGGGCTATCGTGGATTCCTGGGTCTAGGCCCCCAGGGGACCAGCCAAAGGGAAGCAGGCCTGGTCTTCAGATTGAAAGCCAGAAATGATGAACGTGCTGGGTCACGTTTACAGAGTTTGTTGTTTGACCTCAGGCAAGTTGCTTACCTTTCCTGAGCCTCACTTTTCCCAACTGTAAAATAGGGCTAATGACTCTCATGAGGGTATCCATGAGGAGCCAGTGAAAGAATCCATGTGATAATAAGAGCTTAGTATAGGGCTTCCCTGGTGGTGCAGTGGTTGAGAGTCCGCCTGCCGATGCAGGGGACACGGGTTCGTGCCCCGG